AGACTCACCCTAGTGTAAGGGCTGACAGTGTATTACTCCTTCCTCCTGACCTCCACCTTATGGCCCTGGTAGATTTTACGCTGTAAGCCAAACAGATGTTAATCAGCTTAGTGGAGCAGTTGCATGGTAAGGTAAAAAACTTGCTCTGACTGTCCTTCACCTCCACAACTGTGACTTGTCACTAGAAGTTGGATAAGCAGGGGCAGGACTAGGAGCAGGACCAGGTCGCTGCTCCTGCCAAGGCAGAGAGTGGGCCCAGCACCATGTCAGTTGCAGTGAAACCAGAGACCGGAGGAAGCAGCTTCCCTGGGGCTCTGCAGTCTCACTAAAACCAGTGGCTCTGCACTGAGACCGGGGCTATCGGGCTTAAGCCCTGACAGCCCTGCTCTCAGCACAGAGCCGCTGCGTCAGTTGTAGTGAGACCACAGAGCTCCAGGGCTGCAGCCCTGGAGCTGGCTCACTTTAAGCTCTGGGTTGCCTGATCCTTTTTCTCTGGAGCTCAAGTTACGCCTGCCCCCATGTCACTGCCAGTGGGAGCAAAGCCAGTCTGGGCAGCAGTGGGAGGCACTATGCCTGCCGGGTGCCCTGGGGCTGCAATGATCTCTCTGCCCAAGGGGCAAGATGCTGTGCCCAGCCCTGTTGTACTGACTCACCCTGAGTCAGGAGGAGCACTGCATTCTGGGATACTGGAGAGCTGGACTTGAATGGAATAGCTGTTGGAACTGTGGCCACACAGTAATGGAACACGAACAGATTGAGGCAGATTGGAGATAACCCTGCCCTGGAGTGGCATAACTTTAAGCAAAAATAATGAGTGTTGTAGGCCACTTAAAAGGTGTTAACAGGCAGCCTGTTCAGAGGTTAAGAGCTCCAGAAGCCACCTAAATTTACCATGTAACAAGGATCTTAGAGGTCACGTGCCTAGAGTGCTGCTATACTACTACAATCCACTTGGTGAAGGCTGCAGCTGGATGCAACTTTTAGAGAAGACCTGAGGCTTCTTTGTATTGAGGCCTGAACTGTCCTGTCTCTGGTTCCAGGACTGAAGTGGAAGTGCCAAAAAAGTGGCAGAAAACCAATTTTGTAGCACCCTTCCCTCTTGCTCCCCATTAACAGTATACACATTTAATTTTAGGGGGAATTCACAAAACTTATTCTGACCCTTAGTAACAGTAACACCTAAAACAATTAAACAACAAACAAAAATAAAGCCCTTTAAAGGTTTTGGATCTGAGCTGTCCCCAGACAGGGAAGAATTGGATGGCTATTAAACAGTCTACACATGTTCACAGCTGGCTAGAAGAAGTTATTCAGCACAAGTCTTTCTGTAATTGTGTAATACAGTTAGGGGGAAATTAACTTTGTTCAATGATCCTCAAACTCATAATTTTTGGCTGTCTGTTACAGCATGTTCAGGTGTAGCATAAACCCTTGAGAGACATTGCTTGGTAGCTGATTGTTTTCTACACAGCATGTGCTTCCTTAAGTGTATTTGTTTATTATGAAGAGTACCTGTGAATATGCCAGTCACTTACACAGAAAACATGAAAACTGGCAAAGCAAATGAAAACGCAATTATCCTTTTGGCCTGTAACAATGGTTCTGATTCTTTCCTGTTTATCTGATTTGTGCATTTGTTATGCATTTAGATATTTGAAAACAATGGTTTAAAACAGTACAAGCAGAAATTCTCTGGAGAAGTAGTGTCCTCAAAGACAATAAAGCATGTAAAAGATATGCATTTTCAAGTGATACAGCAAGTGTTGTAACTATTTACATTTGCAAGAGGCAACTTTAAACATGGGTGATGTCAGTGGGAATGATATTGGGGTGTCATGAGTGGATAGCAATTTTTTTTGCACTGTGTTTTGGTGCTGGATTTTCAGCTACAAGGGGCACCAAACATCATTTACCCAAACCAAGTATTATGCTTTTAAAAGATACACATGCATGTAAGCTCGCACACACACATGCACATGCATGCACACAGCAAATCCACAAGGGGTGCAGTGGCAGGGATATACCACCCCTTTGGACCATGCTGTGGGAGCAGCAGACAGGAACTTTTTCGCAAGTCCTCAAAACAGGTAAGAATCATATTGCCCCGTTCTTAGTATCCCCTTCCTTCCCCTCTGTGCTCAGCAACACATATCTTCAACTTCCATTGATCCCTTCCCCTGCCCACTACTGATGCTGTCCCTGGCTGATCTGGGCAAACAGGAGAGCTCCAGAGCTGGGCTCAGCAGGGGACAGCAACAGCAGGGTGCCCCTCCGGTGTTCCCTGTAGGGGCAGATTCAGGATTTGGCAAAGGAGGCTGGGTTGGTGGCTACATTCCCCCTCTCCCAGCCTCCTCCTCCTCCTACTGTTGTGGGCAGACCATGCTGCAGGGGTGTCCCGGGACATTTTCAAGTTCCCAAAGCCGGTGAGAATTCCCCCCTCCCTTTCCCTCTGTGTTCAGAGGCACACTCTCACCCCTCTCTTCCCCCTCCCACTGTTGCTGCTTTCCCTGCTTGGGGGTGGAGCAAGCTTCAGAGCTACTCTTGTCCACTCCAGCCAGGCTGCACAGGGCCTGGGTTCGGCTGGAATAACAGTAGCAGCAGCAATGGGCGGAGACTGGGTTCCCTCATACTGCTCAGTCCCCCCAGGAGACTGCTGCTGCTGCCACTGTCAATGCCCTAGCTGAGCCCAGTCCCCACACAGCCCAGCTGGAAAGAGCAGGAGTGGCTCTGAAGCTTCCACCACCCCCAGGACAGAGGGGAAAGCAGCAGCAGGCAGGGGATGTAGGGGAAGGGGAGAAGAGGGGATGTGCCTCTGAACACTGAGGGAAAGGCAGGGGGGATTCTCACCTGTTTTGGGGACTTTAAAGAAGTCCCCAGAGGCTCCTGTGATGTGCTCCAGTCCAAAAGGCACCTGTACCCCTGCACTCCCTTTGGATCCACCCCTGGGTTTGTGCCTCTGAATATCCAACTGAAGTCAGCTTCACAGTTTTATTCCAGTCATAGTATGAAACATCTAGATAAATCTTCGAGCCTATGTATTAAGAATGACATCTTTATCATTAAATCTCCCAGATATTTCAGGTTACCTTCAGTCAGTGTCAAGAGCAGGAATGTGTTTCTCAGAGGTGTTTAAATTCTGACTTTCCAGTCCTCAATATCAATAACTCAACATTTAAGTAACAACAGTACAGAAGTATATAATGCTAAAAACACAAACTCAAAGAAAGGAGGGAAAAATAACACTATTCTATCATATTGTGATTTTTTTTATAGTCACTCAACATATTTAAATAAATCTTTCATACTTCTATTAAATCATATAATAGTATATATGAAGACTTCCCCATATTTATTTTCTCTTCTGTAGCAATGGGAAAGGGATAAATTCAAGGGAAACCTCCAATAATTAGATTCCATATATGAAAAAAATATAAATCTGTTATAATCTTCCAAGTATAGAATCTAATTATTGAGGGGCAGGCATCTTATAATTGGAGTCATCTTCTATTTGAGTAAATGCAATAGGGTTTTTTTTGCCTGAAATTATTCAGTTAAACTACTGTCTATGCAAATAGAAAAAATAAGAGCCAAAATACCACAGTGGAGCTTTCCATGTCCTCTTGTGCAGCAAATGCGTCACAACTGCAGTCATGCCATTATTTAAAAGAAAAACAGGATACTTGTGCTTTTGTTTGCTAGCATACTTTTGATGAACAGATAGTTCATTTTCTTTATTGTTGTTGCTGAATACATGCCAGCTCAGAAGCTGAGGCTACATCAGTTTTCTCATCTGACGATCAAGATCATGAATCACCTTCACCAAACTAGAATATGGACTGGATGTATGAATATGAGTGTGTCCATGTTATGACTTTGCTTGCCAGAAAGCTTGTACTTCTCTGTGATGAAGTGCAGATTTTGTTCTTGGATAAGTCAAAATCTGGAGCCACTAAGCATGAAATCATTTCAAGCTAAATATCTATTAACTCACTGAGGGACACATAAAAACACTGTCCCTTCACTATCTGGCAAGTAATTCACTTCTAAGCTATCTTGCAAGGTGTACATAATATTGTTTACATTAAAATTGGTGAATTCAGGAATAAAAAAAGAATACCAGGCTAGACTTTCAAAACACCAAATTTGCTTTCACAGGCATAGAGTAAATGAATAAATATCTTAAATATGTGGGCCAAAATCTCTTCAATCATGGAATTCAATGCTACCTAATGCTAACCTAGAAATCAATCATATATAACCATTTTAATTCCTAAATAATAATGCAAAAACTGTCATATTTTGGTTTAATAACCGAATTTGAGTTTCAATCTAAAAACGGGCAGGAATTTGGATCTATTAAACACTTTTCATATCTGCTATCTGTTTTTGTATCCATCTGTTTATTTGTTACTAGCCTGTAATGTGATGAATTCTGACTCTAGCTACTCTTTTCAGTTCCCCAGTCTCATTCTCCACAGCTGTCCATGGTTCAAGCTATTTTTCCCCAAACAGAAGACATCCCTTCATCAGAGATGATTAATCCTGGATCAGCATCCCCAAAATATAAGCTCTGCTAATGGTAAGCAATAAGTCATTATAGTTACTGGAGACTAGTCAATAATGGAAAATGTAATCACACTAGCTAATATTAACACAAAATAAAAACCCACTCAGTGTAAATAAGCACTTCTCAGAATTCAGGCAAAATGTAATACTAGTACTTTTGGCTCTTAAAATACCTAGTAGCTTTTAAAATATGTGTATATCATAATAGTATTTCTTCCAGTACATCCTATTATAGTAGAAAAGCAAAAGTAAAGTCTACTTTTTCAACCTTTTTAAAGAATTTGAGAATGTCAAAGTTAATAAAAATGAAGACTTGGTAACACTGACTAGGGCTCAACCTAATCCAGACCAATGATGTGCAAATATTCATCCCCAAAGGGTCTCTGCCAGTGTACTTCCATCTTGTTCTGTGACAGATCCACTAATAAGTCATTCTATGTTCTTTTGAATAGACTGGTAACAGCCAAAGGAGAAAGAATACCTATTAGTATAAGTATAGCAGCAAACAATCAGCAGTTACAGGCAAAGATACTGCAGTCTTATTTCTATCATGCAAGTACAAGAAGCTTAAACTGCAGGACCCACAGAGTGCTAAATGGTTTAGGAATGCTTTATCAAGCTCCTCATCCAGGATACATTTTCAGTAAAGGCAGATGGGTGCTAAATGGCCATACAAGTATGAATGTATTCTGCCAAAAAATGATGTAAAATTTCCATGTGGCTAAAATTCACATATTGTGTAATTTATGCAATATGGCCAGAGTACAGTTGTAGTAAACATGTGTTTGTGCTCTTCATGAATGGATCCAATCTATGGAAATAGGTATAACAATTCTTTTTATACTAGAACATGACCATAATGACCTCTTGTGACCTAAGATGATATATGAATAAGTGTCCAATGTGGCAAGAGCATTGCACTGAGAAAGCATGATATGAAACTGCTCAGAGTCTCTACATGTTGCAAAGTGTTTAATTAGACTTGGTATAAGTCACAGCTGGCAAAAAATTTCACTAATTTTGTTTCCTTCTCAAGATTTGTCAAATATTTTCCTAATGTCATTAGAATTCTAAACTAGTCATGCTTCATTTTAAGTCCCTCACCTTCAAACCTAATTATATGATTTCTTTCAAATGATATCACGACTGTAAAAATGTACTAGCTAGCAGCCTAGAGCCTAGAGAATGGAAAGCAATTCATATGAGAAAAATAAATGAATCATATAAAGATGTCTACATATTATTGACAGTTATGTGTATTCACTTCAATATAACTGTTCAGTCTGACTTCCACAAAACTGGAACTTTTTGTAGGGGTAAGTATGTTACAGCATTTAAGAAAATATATCTGTATAGTGAAGGACATTTACAATTTTTCAGCTTATTCTATTACCCAGAAGACAAAGTACAGTGATAAGATTTTGACATAAGATTTGAATGCAGCAAATGTACCAGGAAGACAAAAAGCAGTGGCTATTTATGCAGAAGTAATGTTTTCTTCAGGCTCCTTGTCTCCCAGATTAATGATTCCTGTGATCACAGATTCTTCTTGAGCTGAGATGTTTTCCAGCTGCTTATTTGCACAATATGGAATGTGGCCACAAAAATACATGTAAATCCATGGATTGGCACAGCTATTTAAATTCCCAAGGAGCATGATAATGGTAAATACTGGACCTAAAAAAATATCATAAGGAAGAGAGAACAGTGAAGAAAGGCATTAGAAAAAGTAATTTATGTTCCATGATATACCTCTTCTTTACATTAATATATGTTTAATGTTGTGTGATCATTTCATCCTGTTATAATGAAAAGGCTAGAATAGCATTAGAAGGTTTCAATTTACTTAGTTTTTAGAAAAGGTATTGCACTTCTTTAGTTGTCTATGGAATACAGTGCATTGTCACTGTATATGTAACACTATTTATGTGTCACTGTACATGTGACAGATACATTAGAAGTATTTTAATATGGGTGTTACTTCTTTGCCTTGATATATCTCATTTCAAATGTTAACATAGATCCTTATTAACCTGGTCAATGTAAGTCCTATAAGTTTGAGAGGCACAACAAGATTTTTTTTAATAAAGACCATCATGTGAAATCTTTTCAGCAGCCAATGTTATTGTCTAATTTTGTTTAATGTATATCTTTGATCTCTAGAGATCTGAAATTTATAAGTCATATAATGGTCTGCTTTTCACAAGGGAGTTGCAGTATAACATCAGTGAGATTATTGTGGCTCACAGCATTTTATCCTTTGACATTTTGGTATTGGTATTATACATATCCATGGTTACACAATTTTTAATCATTCCATAGTTCATAGCTAATATTTCAACTTTCAGAATACATTTTTCCTTATAGTATCATTGTTATAAATACTAAACCAGAAATCTACTCCTTTATTTGAACACTAGTTATTTTTAAAAGATAGATTCAATTTCTTTAAGATACAAAAATATTTCTGAATGTATAACTTGATCCCTTCCTTGTGCAGATGAAAGTTATAACCCTTTTTTACTATGCTATTAACTAATCAGTACTAGTTCATCTTGGTTACTAATTCTAACCTGCAGAGAAAAAATGATCAAAAGCATGCTTATGTGTATGCATATGCACACACATACCCATATACAAAACCATAAAAAAAATGCATTATAAAAAGCCTTCAGCCACTGTACATCATACCGTATGCAAAATACAATTAAATCAATTTTAGTCACAATCAAATGACTGTCCATAAATTCTATATCCAGATAAAGTTTCTATGTAAAAAAAAAAAAGAAATGTGGCAATGTGATAGTCTGCTATGAAGTTATTTAGGACGTAAAGGGATATCTTACCTTCAGTAACACCACTTGGGAACCACACTGACCACAACTGTGCAATGAAGAAAGGTGCCCAACACAGAACATATGCAACCACTGTCACCACTGTCATTTTTACAGTCTTGATCATAGCCTTTGAAATACAGTTAATACTGCTGGTTCGAGATGACAGGGTTTGCTTCTGATTTGTTATTTCAAACTCATTCTGTTTTTTCACATGTATATTCTTATGGATTATTTTGCAGATTTTAACCTGACATATGATAAGGATAGCTGTGGGAATGAAGAAAATAGCCACAAAAATCCAAGTTACATATGCCCTTGAGCCCCAGGGTTGGATGAATTTGCCCCAACATTCAAATATGCCTGGAGATATTTCAGTCTTAGAAAAGATAAATACCTGTGGAAGGCTAAAGAGCAGTGATACAGACCAGCTGGTGCAAATGGGAGCATTCCAAAGAGCTCTTTTCTTTTGGAAAGTGACCATAGGGTAGCATACTGCTTGGTATCTGTCCACTGTCATGACCACTATCATATAAGTGGAAGCAAACATGCCCACAAGCTGCAAATATTTGATAGTTCTGCACAAGACATCTGGCCCTATGAAAACATCTGTGATATCCCAAATTAATTGGGGAAGGACTTGAAAAAATGCTACCACTAAATCCGCTATGCTCAGGTGAAGCATGAAAACATACATCCTAGACAACTTCTTTCTTCTTCTCCACAGTACCAAAATGAGAATAAAATTGCCCACAGATGCTGTTATAAATATTACTCCCAACACCGCAATCTCTACCTGAGCTAATTGCTCGTCTCTTTCTGGTCTTCCAACTGGATCTGACTTATTTGTCATGCTCAGGAATCGGCGAGGAAAAGGACTTTCAGTCTGATATGTATTATCTTGCATAGAAAATGAAAAATTCTTCATAGTGCACAAAAGCTACTTTCAGTAGCTGCTACTGGCAACTCAGGTTGACAGCTGGGAAGGACTGGCTAGTAAATATATCAGCACTGGTTCAGTTTTCTGTGTGTCTTGAAACAAATCTCTTCATGCATGAATGTACCTTGTGCAGTGGACCTGCATCTTGATAGAATTCTCCCCCTTGCTACAGTGTAAAAAGGCTTTATATAGTCTTCAGATAGAGCCTTATGTAACTTCAGTATCATCTGATTGGCTATAGCTGTTTTAGCCAATAGGAAAGTAAGGAATATGAATGAGATAAATGTATAAATAAGATGAGAGAAGCTCAGAGGCTTGAAATAATCACATCACTTATTCCAGTGAAAACCCTAAATTATAAATAACAATGGCCAAAATCATATTTACATAGTTTTACTTGTGAAATCTTTTCCAAATATGAATTGTATGAAAGCCATAACTGTTTAATTTTATAACTAGGAATGTTTATATGTAATGGAAAAGTTAGGCTTCTCAGGATGCATGGTAACAATCATTCTCTTGGACTCTCGGGAAAAACACCACATCCTAAATGCAGTAGAGGAAAAGAAACATTTTTTCCATTACTTTTTCTGTTTTGAGATCAGAGTCATGTGATCCAGCAAAGAAGGAATTTAAAAAATAATAGTTTTTTGCAAGTAGTGGCCAAGATCGGGATCTTTTTCTCAGCAAAAGGGTAGTATAACACATGTGAAATAAATTATATTTATTGGGACTGTTAGCCAGATGACATTTTAATGGAAACAAAATGAAAATTCAACAGGAAATCCAGCTGAGAACAGGTCTCACTGAAAAGCAGGCTCCACCTTTACTGCCATAGACCACATATCCTCTTTTGCCACGACTTTATGAAATAAAACCCTGCCCTGAGAAAACCTGGTAAAAGAGAGTTTAATTAAAGTGCAGAACAAACAAACAGTGCAGAAAAACATGCTAAAATGTATGTGTCCTCAGAAGTTGTTACTATGTACAATACCACCCATATATTCTTACTGGTGGTAAATATGTGCCTGTTTTCCTTGCCCGTGCCAGAATATATTGTGCAAGTTATTTGTAGCTGTATAGGTGTGAAGTAAGTATAATAAATCTGTACAGTTTACTTCACTGTGGGCACATCTACACGTAGCCATATGGCGCCTCTGTTACTGTGCTGTCATTTAGTACTTCCTTTTGAAAGTAGCATAACATAGCATCTTGTGTAGACATGCCCACAGTTTGGGTCAGAGGCCACCAAACATTGCCAGTGGCTTCATCATTAGCTGTATGCTAGTATAGTGGAGACTGCACACTCATCAGTAATAATGCTGGAGCAAACAGCCTCTCAGGTCCTTCTGCTTTGTTTTGTCCTTTTCTCTCAAAGATTATCTTCAAAGCACTTGTTCAGTCTTTATTTGCTGCCCTGTTCCAAAACTCCTGCCATGCCCACTGCCAGTTTACAGATCCATAATGGCAAAAATTACATTTTAAATGCATTAAATACATTTTAAATGTTTTGGAGCCAAGAGGGGGCCAGCTGGAGCCTATCCTAACAGTGATCTGGTTACCAGTAGTGCTTTTAATATTATTTCCAGCTGGAGAAGTGCTTAAGCAAATACATCTGTTTGAAGGTGTTCAGAGTAGAAAAATGGGGCTACATTCCAGACCAATGGACTATCATCAATATATACAAAGGAGAATTTTTGATGCTTGGTGACAGAAGAGAATATCAACCACTGGTGAGAGCTAGTGAACTACAGAGACAGATGTTACATGTTGCCCTACCCAGGAATCCTGGCAACCTACTAGAGTTTTTCTTACATGAAAAGTTTTCAAGCTTCACCAGCCTGGGACAGTGTGGTTAAAATTTAAATGGACGACAAACAAGATGCTTAAATAGGCTACAGAGGCTTGACTAGCAGTCTGACTACCCTAGTTCTTGCCCCCTCTCGCTCCTCAGATGGGAACCTCCATGGACTTCTAAAGCATGGAGGACCACCCCATACTATGAGAATGGACAGATAGCCAACAGAACTAACAACTTGAACTTTTTCACCTATTACAGCCATGGAGAATTATAAATCAAACTGCATTAGATAGTGCTGCAGTTGTTTAAATCTAAAACAGCTACCATTATAATCAAGTTACAAACAGAGGTGTATGTGCCAAAATGCGGAGTCATTTGAATCCTGACCCTTTCTTGTAATAATGAATATATGTAATAAATCTGAATCCTTACCTACTTGTTTAAATTCCCCCCTGCCTTCTTTTAATCCATCTTGAGAGTGGGGGAATGGCATGGAAGGGTGAGGAAGAAATGGAATGCTTTCCTGTAAAGTGATACTAAAGGTTCCTTCCTAGCATATCTGAGGAAAATGGATAATGGTCCTTCAAGACTGCATCAGAGGGCAGAGAAGGTCCTGCTTTTAGTGCTGTCCCCCTTCCAAAAGAGAAAAATCTAAGGTTCTGTGGGAAATAAAGGGAACAGAAGGCCTCAGGAAGGAACTCTGCTGGGGAAGGGAGTGAAGAAGCAGACCGTTCCCATCGGGAGAAGCAGACATTATGGAATGAGGAAGGTTGGTTAGAAGCCCAAGTGTAGTTGATAGGAAAGGGAGTCCAGCTTAATATGGCCTAGTGTAGGGGAGATAATCCATCTGGACAGAGGAGAGGTAATCTATAGAGAGTGTTAACATGGCGGACTGTTGAGCTGCCTTGAGCCATACTGCTCTGCTCAGCTAAGACATCCAAACCAAGAGGATATGGTACAAGTAGATGTGGATGCCACCTTGCATTCTATTAGATTGCTTGTTCTCTTCAGAAGCTAAATCCCACCCCTGCATGTAATATTGCATGAAGCCTTTTCAGCTGTTCTCCAATTGTAAATGTAGTAGTAAGGATGATGAATGCTATTTACCAAACTCCCGCTCTGGGTCCTGTATAATATGCATCAAATATTATAATACTATTGCATAACATCCCATAGCTAGGGATCTCTGGAATTTGCACTGAAAGTGCGTGGCATGATGGCTTCTTTAATCTTGGAGCTTCCTCCATGTGCTCCCCACTGCTGATTGGTGGAGGGGCCCTGTTGCTCACTGCTCACCACCTACACTTGCTGCCCACACCTGAAACCAAAGTTTCAGTTTTCTCTTGGCCATCAGGCATGGGTGGTGAGTGATGAGTGAGCGGGCCCCTCTGCCAATCGGAGGCAGGGGTTGTGTGGGAGAAACTCCAAGATTAAAGAAGCCACCATGCCAAGCACTTCTGGTACCACTTCCAGAGATCCCTACCCATAGCTCATGCCTGTTGTATGGCCTGATCCACATTCCAGTTCTCTTTTCTGGAGTCCTGCTCACCTTCTGTCAGCGGGCTCTGATCTGGTCCACAAAGCACGCTATTTCTACTTAGTAGACATCTGTGAAAGACTGTGAGCTCTGTACCGGAACAGTAGTGAGCAAATGGTTAAACACTCTGTATTACACCCAGGTAACTAGAGAATTGCTGGAATTACTGTTCTGATCCTTGGTCTAGCATTCGACTGAGGGAGGTGCTCCCCCTCCTTCAGAAAGTGATCTCATTGATCATCAGTTCTGCCACCCATTTTTTATGTAAATGGCAGATTTTCTGGTGCACCAAAAGTTGTATGCCTTCAAGTCCTCATTGTGAAGGAGTGAGAAAAAACTCTCCCGAGCTTGCAGCAGGGGGAAACTTACTGACCCAGCTGGAACTGTCTACGAGTGACCAGCAGCCACTGTGGTTTGTCAGGAGCTGCTCAATCGAGATCAGCCCCTCCTGTGGTAGTGTGGGTGTTTCTGGCCTGCTGCCAGGGCCAGGAAAGGCGAGTGATGGGTACCAGATGAGTACAGGGAGCCGGAAATGCTGAGGCACCGGTGAAGGAGCTCCAAGCCATGGGCAGCCAGCAGAACTACAACTCAGGAGCCCCAGGCGACTCCATTAATTTTAAGAGATGCCATGAGACCTGTAGCAGTAGGGAAGGCAGGGAGCACTGGCCGGGAGACACACTGAAGGAAAGGGGCCATCTGGAGAGCCAGCAGTGCTCCAAGCAGGTCTTACTTTTGGGTCTTTTTTTCCTTTTACTTTACTGGGTCATAGAGCCTGGGAGGCTGGGCTGCAGCTTCGGGAAAAAGGGTAGAATCGAGCCAATGCTGGCTTAGTCACACTGGCAGGGGAATCGACTTCAAGGAACTGAGTTGATATGGGGAGGTGGACAGACTCGCCGCACCTAGGAAGGCAGCAGGTGCTGCTGAAGCTTTGAGGATGGACACCAAAGCATCCAAGGCTGGGAAATATCCAAGCTGGGCAAAGGTGGCCAGGAAAGCCTATATATTTTCTTTTGGTATCTTTTATTACTTTTGGGATGGCTGGGCACTTAAGAAAGACCTGCAGCCCTAAAGACTGGATTATTTCAGAGCCAAGGGACACAGTCCATGGTAACGATGACCCTACTGGCTGAGACTTACCTGAGTTCTGTTTCACCATTTGTGTTGTCCTCCATTTCTCCTCCATGGATCATGCCACAACTGACCGATCGGAGGGCCAGTTCAGCCAGGCCTCCGTAAGCCAGGGTCAAGATGAATGAGATCTTGGCATCCCAAGTTAAGGATAACAAAAAATTGTTCTTTAGATATATAGGGAGTAAAAGGAAGGCCCAGGGTGGAATAGGACCTCTACTAAATGGGCATAAGCAATTGGTGACGGACAGGGGGGACAAATCTGAACTCCTCAATGAGTCTTTGCCTCAGTGTTCCTAAGCGAGGGGCAAGACAAGGCTCTCACAGGAATTGTAGAGAGGCAGCAGCAGGGCGCCAGACTACCAAGCATAGACCCTGAGATGGTGCAGAGGCACTTGGAGAAAGTGGATGCGTTTAAGTCGGCAGGCCCGGATGAGCTCCATCCGAGGGTACTGAAGGCACTGGCTGACG